TATTACGCTCGATAGATTTCCGATTCATAATGCCCATCTTACGATCATTCAGTGACTCGTTTACTCAAAAACTCCGTGTCTGTTGATTTTGGACTAATCATGAAGTTATCGAAGTAATTGGACCCCAGATTCGACCTCATCACCCTCAAAAACCTCCGGTGCCACGCTTTCTGTGTGCTCACGAAGTGCTGCTCAATAGTACTTGTATACTACCGAATGCTGAAATCTGATTAACCAGTCACATATGCATGTTTTTTGTGGATGAAGGAACGACTAATTTTGGGAAAAAAGAATTGTTGAACTTTTTCTGGATGAAAGAAGAATTCCTGGAAAGTTTAGCTGCATTTGCTCGTACGGTGTCCAAATGCGTAATGAACAGACACACAAACATTTTCCTACATATGTGGGTGGCTCCGTGGGGTTTATACGACTTTTGTGTAAAAACTATTTTTTTATTTTAATTGTCTAGTTATGGGTATCGTTGTCAAAAACGGTCTACGGTAACAATTAAAACCTTTTTGGAACATATAAAATATGGAGAAACATCATTTTTTAGGAACATCTTCCACACATATAAGGGTATCTCATAATAACTGTTAATAAAGTATTAATGATATTTTTCATACCTTTTATTGGCATAGACGGCTAAAATTTTTATCTCACATATATCTAATAGAGATATTTTATTTTTGAAAGTTTTAGCTCTCTAACTAAACCTACTGGTGAAATACATCAACAAGAGTGAAATACATAAATTTTTGTACTGGAATTTTGCATATTGTGATTATGAAATTATTTCAAAAATCGAGTTCAAAAATCGATCTTTCACCAGTAGTTTAAGCTTGAGAACTGAAACTTTCAGAAATAAAAAATCGATATTAAATATATATGTAATAAAAATTTCAGCTCTCTAGTTCAAGAAAAACTATGAAAAGTACCGTTAGGAATTTATTATCAGTCATTATGGGATACCCTTTGCATGTGTAGTGTTCCTAACAAATGATGTGGTTCTCCACATTTTATAGGTCACAAAAGGTTTTAATTGTTATCTTAGGCCATTTTCGATGACGACACGTCTAACTAGACCGTGAAGATAAATGAAAAACTTTCTTCCAAAATATTGGAACAGAATTCTCTTCTTCCGCAACGTAGTAGAAGCCACACGTATTACCATATCGATTTTTGAGATTTGCTTTATGAAATTTTAATATTTTCATGTAGTGGTTGTCAGAGAAGTAGAGTTTCTTCGATATCATTGAAAATAAAAAGATCTCTTGTGAACCATTTGCACCTAATTGAATATAATTTAAGGACCAAAGAGTGTTGAAATGGTATTGGAAAAGTACTATGGTATTTTCTATCATAAATCAGTATTTTTCTTTGGCAAAAACACCAAATCTGAATATTGTTACCCTATTGCTAAGCAACTTCTCAATTAATATTTATGTTCTAATTTCCTAATTTTTACAGCACCCACAAGTGCTGAGCAGGTGCTAAGCAGGTGCTGAGTAGGTGCTGGGCAGGTGCTGAGTAGATGCTGGGCAGGTGCTGAGGTGCCAGGGTGCTGGGTGCCAGCACTTACCCCCTTGGATTAATATTGGCCTTTACGTTCGCTATTCTCAACTTATTGTTCTGATCGGTGCTCATGTTATGATCCTGTTGCTTTCTGGTACTTTATTTGAAACGTATATTCTTATTGGTGATAATTCGGTCTCCTCATAAATTATTTCAACACGCTTATTACAACTTACAAACAGAATTATTATTAGATATGCATCAACAACGTATGCAAAGTTTTATTGAAGATCAAATTAGAAAACTTATTGCATTTCGTGGTAATTGTAATGACAATGTTAGTCAATGGTTATGCAATACTGGAACTGTATTTGATAGCGTACAGTTACAAACATCGAATAAATTCTTAGTAGTACAATCGTATTTAATTGGTACTGCTTCCATTTGGCTTTATTTCCACAAGTCTGATATTCATGATTGGGATACATTTAAACATGAAATTCTTAAAGCTTTTCAACCCGTATCTAATCGAGCATTATCAGTGGTTGAACAACGATCAATACCAGTACAAAATGTTAATTCATCATCAATATCGTCCAAAACAGCCCCAGATTCGTCCTGCACATCTCAAGATAATTTTTCAGCAGTTATTGATCTAAGCGGATCAATTTCAAATAAACGTTCTCCACCATCCTCGGAAATTGAAAAATCTTCAACACCTGAACAAATAATAAATGATGATCAACAATTAACCATTGCCGTTTTGACTGAAATCTCATTGCTTCATCAATTCATAAACGAAAATGTAATTGAAGATTCAACTATTGATAATATTCCAAATAATTCTCCCCGGATAATTACAAGTCCTCAATTAACATGTTAATCTACAGTAGCAATTGATAATTCTATTACATGTTAAGCTAAATTACAAGAACTACTTAACGATCAAGTTAATTCATATTCGGCGAATGATTTTCGTGTATTTCTTAATGAATTTAGTTCTGTTACGGAATCAGAAAAAGTTAATATTCAAGTTAATAGTGATAGTGATAATGCTAATATTAAAAATCATACTGTTAACGTTACGTTTTCAACGTATCGGATTTACATTTGTAATTGTTATGAACTCCCCATCGAAAGCTTTAGATCATCGTTGGTACATTACAAATCGATCATACTCCTAATTCGACACATATACGTCTACGTGAAGAAAAAGAAGAAAGAAAGGCAAAAGAAAATAAATTTTCTACCCTTTCCGTCTTTTCATATCCTGCTTTTTCTTTCTTTTCATTTATGCAATTGTTATACCTAGTGTTCCTATTTGATTGTATTGTTTTTTTGTGTGCTGTTTTCGTTATTTGTTTTTTTGCCGGTGTTTTTTTTCGTGAACAGGTATAACAGTTCACTTGCAAAGGGTGGATGTATTATATAGTGGCGCTATCTACGACTACTACCTCTTTTTCTTTCTGTTATCTCTCTATTGATCAAGAGACCTAAGAGAAGCTATGTTGGAAGAGAATTTGAGAGTTGTTGAAGTGATTCTAGTTAACGTTGGTTTGAAGAAATAAAGAGTTAGGTAAACGTAACTATCTAACAAGGTGAATTTGATCTTCATCATATTTTACATATAATTGAATAGAATATGACTTGAAGTATGAACCAGAGCCATATCTTAATATAAATTATATCAGATTGACGTGTAGTTGATCGGAGCTACGTATATTAACGTTTCAATGGATACTGTAAATCAACTTCCAAATCAAAATTTTAGTCAATTGAGAAAACGCCAAAATCAAAAGTATTTTCCACACAAAATTGAACATACTTCTACAGCAACTTACCGATTAATTTAATTATATTAAACGATACTATTCTAAAATACTATACTACTATCTGCGTAATCCTATTAAAGGAACTATATTATCTATAGAAGAGAGTTAATAATAAATAGTATTAGAACAAAATTAGAATCATATCACACCATTTCGGCGCAACAGCAAATCCATGCTACCTCACTAAATAAGATTCCACACGCACACCCTTTGTCCATAACATAAGCAATTCGCCAGAAAATATTGCATTTTAAATTTCCATCATTTCTACATATCTTTCAACTGCCGAAACATATCGAAGAATATCTGCTTTTGCTTTCCCTTTCCTATTTCACCGTTACACCAAAGTATGCCATTTTTTCCACACTTCTTTGAAATGCTAAAAATTCTATACGCATAGACCTAAAGCATACTTTTATTACGGAAATCAGAAGAAAAGTGCTGCAATAGTAATATTAAACTGCTTTTATTCAATTATTTCTTTACCATCACCATTACATATATAAATCAATTTCCCATACGTCCAACTTTCAAAAAAGCAAGAAATACAAAACGCGGACAACGAATGCTTTCTTACACAAAACACCGGTCCGACATTCAACTAACTAACCACAAACCCACACCCACCGACATCCGAGCTTGGTACTTTGCGGCCGTTGACCTGCAAAAACGCAACATACATGAAACCAACAAATTCCATTGATTTAAACGACTCACCTGTCACCACTACACTAGCGCCCCTCGTGACCGTTCCGCTTTCATCTAACTTGACCGTGGCTGATTCCGTTGCATCTCCACGTTGTGTGCCAGCTTTCGGTAATACACCCATTTCAACGCTTCCACTTGTTCCGAACTTCGCTACCGCTGCAACAAGTGTTGCTACTCCCCTGGTAGCTCCACCATCTGCGCGAGCTCTTGTTGGTACCTCCTTTTCACCACTCCCACTAGATCCGAACTTCAATGTAGCTCCACCTTGTGCGCTAGCCTCTGTTGTTACACCGTCCTCATCACTTTCGATAAAACCGAACTTCGATGTACTTCCAGCAAGTGTGTCTCCTCGAATGCTGGCTCCACCTTCTGCGGCAGTGAGTGTTGTTACACCATTCTCACCAAATTCCCTAGACCCGAATTTCGATTTACCTCCAGGAAGCGTGGATCCTCCAGCAGTGTCGCCACCTTTTGCGCCAGTGAATGTTGTTACACCATTTTCACCACTTTCGCCAGATCCAGCCTCCGATGTACCTCTACGATGCGCGACTGCTCCAGTGATAAATCCACCTTGTCCGATTGCTCCAGTGGTAAATCCACCTTGTCCTGCTGCTCCAGTCGTGAATCCACCTTGTCCTACTGCTGCAGTCGTGAATCCACCTTGTTCGGCTGCTCCGGTGGTGAGTCCACCTTGTCCGGCGGCTGCAGTGG